CTCTAGAAGCGGCTCTGGGCCTTAAATGTTGGATAAATCACCTAATTTTTACAACTAGAAAATAGGAGGGAGATGACCTCTTGGTCCCTTCCCCAGTAAGGGAGAAAGTAAGTGGTTCATGCCTGAAGGTGTTTCATGACGGACACCACCGAAGAGGGGAGTTGGACTCAGCCTCTATTTTACATTAAGAATCCCCCCCTTCCTAAGGTGCAGACTTATATCCTTACTGTCTAAAGCAAAAAAGATGTCAGATTCTCTAATATTTATGCATAGGACCTATTCCCTAACTCCCTTTCTCTCAATTTTGTACTTGTACTTTTTTAAAACTAATTTTTCCTAGTTCCCATTAGTTTCTTTTTAAATCTACATGTTGCAAGAAGAAGCATTCTTTTATTCATGAATACAGTGTTATTTAAAACCCACATGTCAGGTGGTAGGCTAGGAGCAGAACATATACTTCCTGTGTCCGTGGACATTCTAGTCTGTTACTCTGGGAAGTAAGAGGCCTTTGCAAAGAAACCTGGAACCGGAGAGCCCTGTTTAGTGTAGGGCTTGGTCAGCTTAAAGTAGCCACACAGACAAGGAGAAAAATGTCCTGCTCTGCCTAACGTATACTCATTTTCTCCTTCCAAATTATGGTTTTGAAGGTCTTAAGGACCTGAGAGTGTGACCCATCCATTTTCAAAACCCTTTCCAACTAGTGCATCAAGTCACACACATACTATTCTTTCTGGGACATTTCAGCAATTGCTTAGATGGTCGTTTCTGTTTTCTGAACTGCGCCCACTGCTCACAGTGGGGGCTCGGGTGGGTGATGAGGGCATCTGAAGGGCAGGAGCCTTCTCAGGTGAGTCATTCCCGAGGCGACGGCAACCCACTGTCCCAGGGGTCGCCTCCATGTGGGTGAGTCCCACCCGGGATGCACTGCGGTGTAAATGAACGTCACATTCAGAATCTGGAAATTCGGTGTGGACCAAAGAACTACCATGATTAACAAAGATGGTTCTGTCCGTCCGTTCTCATGTAACCAGGGCTCTGTCAACGCTAAGAAGGAGGCATGGCATCCCCCAGCCGCTGAAGGGCTGAGCCGCATCGGCCTGGGACAGAACCGTGCCTGCGGCCTGGTTCTCATCCTTATGTGCCCGGATTGTGCTGCAAGCCGGCTTTCCCCAAGGGCTTCTATGAATGAGCATCTCCTCTTATAAACCGGAAGGATGAAAATCCTAATAGCAATAGAGCATTTAATTTTAAGAAGGTGTCTGCCAGGCAGTCCTTTGGAAAAACTAGTCTCAGAAAAATAACTGGTACCTGAGGCAGGGCTTTGGGTAAACCCCCAGCCGGGACCCGTCACTAACTGCTGCGGCACAGGTTCTGCTCCGAGTGTAAAACCAAGTCCGCTTATACATCTATGGGGTAACACCCTGTTGGTCCCTACTGTGTGCCAAGCAATGTGCTAGGAGCCTGGAATCCGGAGAAAAATGTGGGGTGCTCTCTGACCCCACTGGGGGCTCGGCCGGGACCCAGGCCCACACTGCCCGGAGGTGCCTGCGCGGAGCCGAACCGTCCTCCCCTCATCTCCGCGGACTTCCGCAGCCCAAACTTAAGAGACTTGGGGTGTATGTCAGCTGCTGTCCAGGCTGGGGAAACCTCAAAAAGGAGTAACGATTCCTTTAACTCAGCTGAGTATGAAAAAAAAAAAGCTCTCAGAAGCCCTGGAAGTCACACCATAACAGGGGTGTTTGCTAGGGGCAGGAGGGGCATGTGGCCCTTGGACTTTCTCTCGCCCCGGGGATGCAGCCAGAGTCCGGCAGGGCCTGGCCACTGGGTCTTGAGGCTGAGGACACCGAGACCAGAGCCATACCGTAGTTGGCACAGTCCCGTCCCCTGCTGCCTCGCGCACTTACGCCGCATTACCATCGCTGATGCTGACGGGCTTGAATGCACAACGACATTATTTAGGTCAGGACTCTGCAACTAAAGGCCGCATGACTGCTTCCTGGTTCTGCGTTTGTTTCCAGAGATGGAGCTGGTGGCGATTCTACTCATCTCTGGAGCACGTGCAGTAATGGCACTGCCTGGGCAGCGCGACCCCACACACTTCGCCCTCTGTGAGTTATCTCTGCATTCGCTGGGGACAGACAGCAAGCCTCCTTTCACCGGCCACTCTGATTCCTTCTTATAGAAGGTGGGAGTATAGACCAATAATCCTTATTTTGGCCTCTCCTGGGTCATCAATTTTAATTAGCCAAATTAGACTATCTCCTTTTCTGCCAAGTTATCAATGGGCTCAAATTAGGTTATCTCTTAGTTAGGCAAATATATGTATATATATAGTAATTTAACAGGATTTTAAGAAAACATTACAACCAGGAGCAACTGGCCTCTAGAGTCTACTATACACAGAGAAATATCCTGAGGGAGGGGTATTTTTAATTTTAGTATTTTTTTAACCAGCTTAATCAGTTGATGTTTGCTCATGGATACAATCTGAAGAAAATAATCTTTTCAAGAAATTGAAGAATGATTTTAGAAGGATGGTTGCTACTGGAATTGGCTTTGACTCAGATCAGCTGCTGTTCTTGGAGATTCTTGGTCAAAGAACCCAGAGACCTGGCACTCATCCTAGACTTTTCCCTCACAGCGCCGTCGCACGCCGTGGTTCGCACCCTCCAATGTCCGTGTGCCCTCATCCCCAGGCCCGTGGACGGTTAAGACCACCTTTGAACAGTTTCCAGCCCCGCTCGGACCAGAAAGGCAAGTCAACGTTTGTCACTTGCCCCTTTTAAAAGAATCCTGCTCTATATCCTGTTGGCTTACAGAAAGGAGCCCGGGGCCCCAACTGGTCAGCACCGTGCTCCCAGGGCTACCTCCGGGCCCGACACACAGTAAATGCTCTAAGTATTTGTTGAATGTCCCCAGGGTCTTCCGTGACCAGGCTCCTGCTTCCCTCTCCAGCCATATCCGGGGCTTCCCTGCAGCCATACGGGATTCCTAGGATTCCTGGACTCTTCCGCTGTCTCTTGCCTGCTTTTGCACCAGCTGTACCTTCCACACAGCACACTTTCTCTGCTTCAGCTCACACCTGCCTTCTTGTACCACATCTGTGTGCAAAACTCTGTTTCCTCTCTCACTGGGAGAATATTGCTGCAGCCCTCTCTCAACACAGCCCCTAGCCTCCGATCCATCCACAAAATCCTCATTTTCCTCCAGGCTGGAGGTTGGGCTGGGATTGGAATGTGTCAGGTCTCAGTCTAAGGGCTCGTGTGGGTTTGGGATGGCAGGTACCGGCTCCAGACTTGGGCTCGGGTCCCGAGGGTGATCCTGGTATTTCACTCATTCCCATGACAGATAAAAGAGGTGTTTGTGGGCTGGCCTGGGTACCTAAGTTTAATTATCCACATATCTCGATAAAGCTACCCCCAAAAAGATTAATTATTGTTAAAAGGGGGAAAAAAATGTTTTCCATCCATAAACTGGAAACCTGGCCTTCACCGCCAGTTCCTTCTTCCCTGCCTCTTTCAAAAGGAACTCTTGATCGGAACTCTCTGACCTTGACGTGAAAGTCATCGCTAAGAGGCTCTAAGACCTCTTACACATATGTTACCCCATTTTTCACTTAATTACTGGTCAAATATACTAGTTGAAAAGACTAAGCTCTTGCTGTAACCAGAATAACTTGTGGGATTACAGCAAGCAGGCTCAGGCTACCTTCCTCTTTATTTTCTGAGAGCTGTTCTCGGGTAAAAGATGTAGACTTCCTTGAGTAGAACTTTCCTATTTCTTGTGGTTAATACAGAAATCACACAGCATGCAGTCCTGGCACTGTAAACCTTTGAACACGACATCTATGAAATTCTGTTGTCTTTTTACATTTTCAGTAACATTTCTTTTCGCTATATTTATCACATTTTCCAAAATACGAAAATGTTCTTTTTATTTTACATGTTGACTACATGCGAAAAATTGACTCCGGGTCTATTACTTCAAACTCTCCCTTTATTAGCAACAGTTGTGTGGTGCTGTCAAGAAGAATTTTAAGACGAAAATACCAAATTTGGGGAGTGGACACATCTGTTTTACTTTGCCGTTTTATTGTTTTATTTCTTAGGATATGAATTCACAACTATCTTGTAACTGAAGACTAAAGAAAAAACATGTGTTAGCAAATCTGATTTCTGCATTTTTTTTTTCATTCAAGGGAAGTTGCCTCCCTCAGCCAGCTGTCTGCCAATAAGTAATAAATGGGGACTTGGCGAAAAGTTTATTTAAGTTGGCTTTATTAAGCCAACAAAATAAAGAAATCAAGTATGGGACAGGCAGAAAAATCTGTTCCTTTGAAGTCAATAAAAATCCATCTCCTTAATCCTTTTTTTATTCCAAGCAGTGGTGATTTTTCTCAACTGACTCACTGAGAACCTTGATTCAGCCAATCTGTCTTGCTTAGTTATCCTTGTCCTCCAAAGCTTCCTTAAGAAGCATCGTTTCCCCTTGACAAGCATCATCTTTTACACCGGCAGAATGGTGCACCTGGGTATAAACATTCGCGACTTAACCCGGGTACAGATTTAAGAAACAGGTTTTTAATTACTATCCATATTTTCAAGAATAAAAACAGCAGTAGCTAGCAAGCTGAAGCAAAAGGCATATAGAAAGGACGGAAAGAAAGAGGGCTAAAATTCGAGGCCGCGTCTTTCCTAAGTGATCTCCATTCAAACCCGTCACAGCGTTGGGAGTGCTGCCTATGGACTTGTTCCATTATGGAGGAAAATGTGGGAATCCACTCCAAAACCCCCTTTTCCATACATACCCAACCTATCCTCTTAAGGGCCATGAATCATGCAGAGCACATACATAAAAATACATTCGTTTCATGATGTTATGCTTGAAAAGAAGGGCTTTATCCTGGTAGAACAAACACACACACTGACTTTAAGACACTCAAGGTTCGGTATCATCCAGTAACCTGAGGGTGTACGTAGCACAAGAAAAGAATTCCTTACCTAAACTGAAAAGCACCAAGAATTTCAGACACACGAACTCTCGTTGATCGAACTGGAGAGACCGAAGCTTTGCCACTAATTCCTGTGCGTGACTCATGAGATTGTTGAGGGTGGCCCCCGCTTGTGACGCTATTATGGAATAGTCCACCTGTAACAGAACCACAGCTTTAACGACTATCAGAATCAGAAATATGTATTTCCCTTGAGACGCTTGGAACTGTGGGTAAAATCAGACCGCAGGATCCATTTATAACGGAGGGGGCTTTTCCCATAAAGTAGTCGGGGGTATTCTGATTGTAACATGGATCATCATTGGCCTGACCCATCTCACCATTTTGCTAACAACCTTCGTAGGGAACAGGCTTTGACTCCCTTTATTTTACAGGTATATTATCTTTATCTTTTTTCTGTTGCGAAACTGCATCATCACATAAGATTCACGTTTAGCTCTCATGAGTACATTTAAAGAAAAATACACTGTACACAAAAAGTGAATCCAGGACAGAGTTCTATGAGCACACAAGGACAGTAACTAATATAGGAGTGGAGTGAAGGCACAGATGTTTCCGTTTTTATGAAGAGATACATTTTAAAGTAACCATCATTCAAGGCTGCATGCTTATGTGATGAAGGAATCACAGGTACATTAGTTTGCTATTTCCTAAAAAGCTACAACTACTGTTTTCACAGGATTACTGATACATTCCTGTCTAAAGACAACAATGATCTTAGGAAGAAGAATAACTTCTGAATTTGGGGGAAAAAAAAAAAAGCTTATTACCTTGTTTACTTAAAAGCTACTTCGATGCACCATGTCACATTATTCACGGGGGCAGAAGAAGTTAAGTTTATAGCGATAAGCTGACGTGCTGGATGGCTGTGGACGGACGCCCTGGCTTGGCTGCTGCAATCACAGTGCGTGGGGAGAGCCCGGCTGGCACCTGACGCTCTGCTCCCACCTGCCTTCCTGGAGAACTCTTGGGCAACCGGATCCTCTTTTAGGTGCATTTAATATTTGCAGTGGCAGCAAATTTGTCTGGGAGGCAAGCCCTCACCTGCCACTCACGCAGAGCAGACTGTATTAAATTTTTATATTTATTGACATTTCATTACCATAATTGACTGCATTTGCTTCTCTAGGAGAAGGCACAGGGCTGCCTCCTAAGCAGGAGAACTAGTCCCCCGAGTAGAATTTGCAATTAAAAACGAGGCAGAATGGATTTTTTTTTTTTACTGTGTAAATATGATGAGTTGAATTTTCAGCTTTAACCAGAGAATGCTGGGTGTACAGAAACCTTTTTCAAGAGTGAGAAAAATTATGAGTCAGTGGAAAGATGACCCCCAAAGGTGTCCATCAGTTTATGTGGCCTCAACTAGGCCACTGTTAGTGTGTGTTCTAGGAGGCTCTCCCCTCAGACACAGCACTGTCCCTGTTTTGTCCCTGGGCAGACATCTGTCCCTTAAATGTAAACATCAAACATTCTGAGAGCTCCTTAGGTTTCTGCTTGAGAACGTGTGAAGGGAAAGGGCTGGTACCCAGGCAGCCTGAGCCCCGAGCACATTATGAGGATAGGCCTGGCACCAAAGGGGCATCTCAACGGTGCCGCCACAGGTTCCCTTACAGAACCTCCTACCCTAACGACCCCTTCTTAAGTGGTGCCCACGCCCTAGATTCTTCAAAACCTGCACATAGGCCAGCTGCTCCAGGGGATGATGATGGTAACACAGCCGACAAACAGGAGAGGGGGCAGACGATGGCGAGGACGCCCAGTGGGGCCACACAAGTGCAAGGAACCCGACACGGAAGAGGCGGCGATCCCGGCCACTGCGGCCACTTGAGCGCGGAAGCGCCTTGGGCTCAACACGTGAGTCTCCGTCCCTGGGTGTCCTGACGGCTGAACCATGCAGGTGAGCCAGGTGACGATAGGGTGCCTCCTGCGTCTGCGGTTCTCAGGGCGTGAGGGTAGCGGGGACATGCCACCTATTTAAGCTCCGAATCCCGCTAAATGCTCACTGCTCCTGTAGCTTAGTGTGCACAGAGTGCATTTTAAGCAAAATCACTAGACTCCCTAAACCAGGAGCTATCCTGAAGCAAATCACAAGTACGTCGGTAATAGTATTTCTAATTTTTAAGACAGGGTTAAATTTTGAAATGTTGTTCTGACAGCCGTGTAATGAGTTTAGCTACTAGAACTTCCCACCTGAAACTGCAGCACATAACTCAAATGAACCTCAGTATTTTTTTTAGATGGGTTAATTAAAATTCAGTATGTGCGTAGTTCTAACAGGTGTGTAATAATAAATTCAACTATTACAACTTCGTACTTAAAAAGAATGCCCTGTAACTGAAAGGACTGAACTTGTTTCTTAGGATCCTGTATGCAGCAAGTAGCCTATAGTGAGATGGACTTTGGGAAATGTTATTGCAACAAGTTTATCGCTATATATTTATTTACACACTGATTTGAAAGCTCAAACATGCTTATTAAATAGGGGCTATGGAAACCCTTCCTTCAAGGATAATTTATCAAACCGCACGACTCTGAAGGAGGACAGGTAATTCATTCCTGAAACAGCACACAGATCTGCAACTTCCTTACATTTTATTACAAACGTAATTATTTTTTCATTGTTGAATGCAGAGTTTGAGCTCATTTCATGAGCAGCTGGCCTTGTCTTTTATGTACTTAGTAAAATTAATTTATTGCTCGCTTACATGTAATCTTTGTGTCATTAAATTCAAGGCAAATATTGAAGAAATACTATAAGCTGATGTCCCCTTTGGATAAATTTCACTCATCATGAAGGTAGAAACAGTTTAGCTAAATTGCTTTTAGTTCTAATAGCTGAAATTTTTAATGACTTGTAAGATGCCTGTCACTTTAATATGATACACAATAATAGAAGATAATGAATATATTGCCAGCAGACCATTCCCTTAGGATGATATTACAGTGGCTGTTAATTAGCTACAATATGCAAATACGAAAAGTGACCCACTTCAAAGTACTCAATTGTTATTTTATGTATATACATACATATATATATATATAAATAGATACAGATGTGTATGTTTTGTGTGTGCATATTTAAATACTGGACAAAAATGACTTCTTGTCATAATTCTAAGATGCTAAATAATAAAATCGATTTGGCAATGCTTGATATTATTAATAATTATTTCCCTGTTGTTTAACAAGTTTATTTAATAATGTATTTATATAGATGCCTGTTAAAAGACATAATTAAAATGTAACGGCTAACTTACTAGGTGAGAAACACGAATCCTCAGTTCGATACGAGGAACTGGCACCCTGGGCTACTCTTTGCAGTGGGACTATTTCAATTTCTCTGGTTCTGAATCAACTATGAGGGGACTCCATTCTGCAAATGTGTACTGGGCAAACAGCGTGGTAGGCACTGTGCTAGTCACTGGGCTTATAGGAAAGTTGTGCTATTTTATCTTTCTTCTCTATCTCCAATCCAAGTACCAATTCTCTGGAAATCTGCTCATTTTTAAAAATTCAGTCTAGGCTTTTTCTCTCTCCTCTACTGTATTAAATGAACCACATTATTTACCATGAGCTGCATTCAGGAGGAAAAAGCCAGAACCTGGTACCAAGGAGCACCTGGGACCCTGCATTCCTTAGCTGGTCGAGAAGAGCTGCTATGAAGTACTATGTGGGCATGATATACATGCTTTAAGGTGACAGCAAATTGCTCCCCTTTGTGTCAGGACTGTGGCCCCACTATTACAGGCTGAAGCACATTTAATATTACTATTTACCGAAGTACTCAGAATTAACCTTTTCATTTGTTCTAAAGGAATCATCACAGGGCAGTTGAGAAAATTCTACAAGCAAACCTGGAAATTTATGGAGTGATTTGGGAGCACTTCTGGCTAAGGTGAGGCTGAAAAAAGGTAGTGGGGTTTAGTTAAAATGTCACCCAGCAAGCCCATGTCCCTGCTCCCCTGCCCCTGGGACGTCCGAGCACTGTCACCTGCCTCCACCTGTGAAGGAGGGGTGGGCGCAGCACCCTCACTTTACGGGTATTCCCGAAGCCGGACCTGACAGTTCCAGTGACCACCTGATCCCCTCTCACTTCCCCTTTTGGACCTTCTCCCGTCTGGCCTGACCCTGCGTCGGGTGCTTACCTGGGAAAGGGCACAGTGCAAAGGTCAGTCATCAGTCAGCCCATGAACTACACCCCTCACACTGGGGGCAGGACGGCGTCTGATTTCCCCTCCCATCTCTGCCTTCCCTCATTCATCAAGCCTTCAGAAACCTTTTTCAATTAACGGAATAACGGATCCCCTCTCCTAGAGGGCAGTGGTAAGCAGCCCAAAAAGGAAGTAATGCCATTTAATTTGTTTCTGTGGTACCAGCATCATGACTTGATACAGTGTGTCACGGAGGCCGACTTCTATCAGTTTAAGGTCTCTCTGCACAGATCCACCGTGGAGTTCCTTGGCAGAGAATTATTTTATTTTGAAAAGTCGGAAAAGCCCTCATTTAAAATATATTGTGTCCAAAAACTGAAAGAAAACACTTGGTGTAGGGTGGTGGTGTTATGATTTTCTTTTTCCCTAGCTATCCCTTAATGCTGAAATAATTTTATCATAGTCAGTAATCATCACATTAAAATCTCTTCTAGAAAATTTAAATTTATTCTTACAATGTGTTTACAATGCCCCACCAAAAAAATTTGGGGAAATTCATGTATTTAGGCTAAAT